TCATAGTATTGGATTTGTAGTTATCAACAGGATAATCACTTTATACAGAGGGATGAGTGGAATAAATCACACTGATTTATTTGTGGGACCTTGAGTGTTATTTGAAATGATAGTATTCGTGTTGAGTGATCCAAAGGAAGTGGGGGTTTTGGCTGATTTGTGATTGTGAACATGTGTCTGATGGTTCTACTCCATAACAGGAAGTGTCCTTTCTGAAGAACAGCATTCTGGGTATGAAGATGCTGATGAGCTTCTTTCAGGTTGGAGGACTTCAATATAGTAATGTCACCTGCTACTAAACCCTATGTACTGTATGTTGTGTAATGCGTATATAATTAATTTAAAACATTCCAAATACATTCACATAGCAAGTTATCTTAGCAGAAATTATATACACCATTCAACACATAATTTAAATATGGTTTTTATTAATTTATTCATTCATTTTTATATATTTTATTAAAGCAAAATCTGCAGAAAGAGCCACACCTGAATACCATAATGATTTATCCACCACTAAAGGCCCAACAGGTCAGTAACTTCAGCTGATGGGTTTCACTTCTTTAACCTTCTGTGCCTGTGAACAGTAAATCTGTTTCTGTTTATAGACCTTAGTCAAGGTAGACAGCATATTTTATGTGGATGAAAATGAGGATGTGATTGAGGATGACCCATCATTAAAGGGGTCATCGGATGCAAAATTTACTTTTGTTGTTGTTTGAACATAAATGTGTGTTGGAAGTGTGTGTACACATCCACCCTATAATGATAAAAATCCACCCAGTGTTTTTTTTTCAATCTCTATTTTAAAATCCCCTTTCTCAAATCAGGCTGTTTTGAGATTCCTGTCAGAATGACGTAGTTCTGCACAGGCCCTTCCCATGATAGATGATTGACAAGGCCGTCTTACCTTAAGACCCGCCCTGAGTGAGCTGGCATCAGTCCGCCATTGTGTCAACTCCGGTGCAGGGGAAGACAAGAATGTCTCCGATTAAGCGATTGAGGGGTTTTGTTGTTGGAAGTAATAATGAATATAGCAGTCGTCATTTACTCCTGACATCTGGATTACGAGACGAGACGTAGAGGATTAATGTTACTTGCGTTTTTTGAAGGGGATGCGCCGATCCCTGATCTGCCTAAATGCGTCTATGTTCACACAAATCATTCGTGATCCAGCTTCATCTACAGAAGAAGTGAGTTTAAGGGTTTTTTATGAATCTTTGCAAATCGCCTTTCCTAATAATGTGATAGTTAGCCAGTTTCGCGGCTGAAGTTTACAGTCTGCTCGTCACCCCACGGAAGAGAGGGGCGGGGTCAGCAGAGCTCATTAGCATTTAAAGCAACATGGAC